TGTAAGTTTCAGCTTTCCCAGCCATGGTTTAATGCCTGAGTCTTATGAACCTCCTCCATCTTTCCATAGAACTTTCTGAGCCTTAAAGCAATAGTTTTAGCCAGGGAAGAGCACACAATTTGAATATCCAGTATCATACATGCTAGCAATACAGAATGATCAGTTTACAGTTAGCAATATACAACTGCATGTGTATACACATGCATGCAACAACAATTAATAAAAAGAGATGTCATAAATTAGAAAAAGAGCAAGGAAGACTGTAGGGAGAGTCTGAAAGGATGAAAGGGAAGAGAAAATAATGTAATTCTAATCTCAAAACCAACAGAAAAAAATTCATGTCAAAAAAGGGAAAATTGTTACACAACACTCCACCCCTGCTTTCAAATGTTAGTTGTTTCCACGAGATTACATTCTACCATGGAGCTCTGCAAAGGCACTGAAGTGGCACACCAGTTCTGATGTCCCTGGTGAAGCAAACTTTTTATTTCTCACCTCTTCTGTAAGCACAGCTCCATCATGCCCAGTGAAGTGGCCCTAAAGCTCTGCATCTCTGTCCTTCCTTCATCAACTTCCAGTACATGATACTTTTGAGACCTCTGCTTGTGATAACCAAGCGTCCCAATGCTTCCTTTGAGCCAGTTCATTAGGAAGTGATTTCTCTAGATTTTCTTAGATTATGTAGCCTTTATTTTGGGAGATCTGAGTAAGTACATGACTCACTTTCCCACTTCTCTAGCACTCAGATTGATCCCATCTGTTCTCATAGCCTACAATCTCATGAGCCAAGCTGTGGCAGGATGTTTCCTTGATCATTTGAAAGTCTTTCCAATTCAAGCAGCTGAGAGATAGAGGACTCCCCGACTAAGACAGTATCCTTTCCTTTTGCAGGCCATTTTAGGGCTTTCAAATGCAAATTCAAACCTGGATTTTCCTTTTCTCTATATAAAATGTTTAACCTAAGTGGTACCTTCTGCCTTCTATCACCTTTATTCCAAACAGAGAATTAAAATTGTGTGCCAGTGTACAGATTTTAGGACTAAGGAATTTTAACAAACACTGCATTTTCATACATGGTCTTGATTCTTTATCTTCTGCAAACATTCTGTTTTATGATTAAATCTATTTTCTGCCTTTCTCCACATATTTCCATTTCCATTTAGAAAACTTTACAAATTTTACCTCACAACAAACATTTATTTAGTCAGAAAAGGTTTTGAAAAGATCATGACAGAGAACTAATAAAACAGAATGTACCAACCCACTGTAATTATTAAATCTAAATTACATTTGTCACACAAAGAAACAAAGATGATGAGAGTTTTTTTGACTGTTTATTTTGTTTGTTTGTTCATTTTTTTGCATCTCTCATGTTTCAAGAGGAGTCAGGGACAAATTGTTGATGGCAACCTGTGTTTCTCATACTTCAAATTTTTCCAAGTATTTTAATGACTTAAAAAAATACGCCTGTGGAATTTTTTAAATGTGTTGCTCTGAATAACATCTGAAACGTGGTGAAGTGTTTCTTATCACATTACATACAACAGAAAAACTGAAAGCCCACCCTGCACCGATTAGGAACAGAACCTTCATCCAGTGACTGAAGGAAGCAGACGCAGGGCAGTGGAATGCTCTCCTCACCTTGATTTTCCAGTCCCGGAGGATGCCGCAGCCACCCCATCTTGAAGAGGACCATGCAAAACAAATCGTCACATAAGTTCAACCAAAAGAGCTTGTGACAAGGAAGAGCCCCTTCAGGATCAAGAACCAGGGACCTTCAGCCTGGCACGTGCCAGCACCGGGCTCTAAGCTGAGCACTGAGCGCAGCAGCTGGCACTGAGCCACGGAGGCGGGGACAGCGTGCTGGCCGTGCCCTCCACCTCCTTGAGTGATGCAGACTAGCTGGGCAGAGCGACACCACTGTTACCTCCAATGTCATAGTGACCCCAGGACACCGCTGCCATGCAGGAGTCCTGCCTGCTCCACCTCTGAGGCCTCCTGTGTGAGGGTCTCTGGCCCTGGCCTGCAGCACCAGGAGCCCCACAACACTGCCCTGGGTGGAGTGAGAGGTTTGACCACAGATGTTCCTTGATCAGTTTGTTTACTATTGAGAGCCGCTGGTAGTGAAAGTCCATGAGAGTATACAGCAGTGACAACTAGAGTTCAGAAGGTCAACCTATCAGAACCAAGAGTTCTGTTAGAGGAAACCAGCACACAAGGCGTTACGGGATTACTGCCTTTTAAATGAACTGGCTGTCTCTTGTTGTAAACTTCTTGTGCAATAACAGCTGTGATTCTCCCCATTTACCGGCATCTCCATGTTACGGGTACATGTACTCTCACGATTGCATCTCAATCTTGGGCACAACGTTCCCTATACATTTGGGGTAATTGGACAACTGCCTCAGTTGTGTTTATCTTTCATTAACATATATCTGGCCAGGGCCATTCTCCAGACAAAAGTATTTCAGCAAAGATACATTTTTCCAAGGACAAAACTGTACATAGCTAAACATTAGCTCATCTCACTCACAGATAGAGAAAAGAACCATTAACAATTAATACCTCAACCCCTTACCTTCACCCCGGGCTATTTACACAAGACCCTAATTTAAGAGATTTACTGCTCACATTCCCGGGATAAAGTTTTAGCCATTTGCTAGATACTGAGTTAAGGCAGTTACTTCCCACTGACCCAAGGAGATTGCCTCCAGGTCAGGCAGGTGATAGGTGCCAAGCTTCTTTCTTGTGCAAATTAAGTTTTTATTCCTCCTCGGCCAGATGCTATTCCTAGATTTTCTCCTCAGTAATTACTCTGAGTGAAAGTGCTTTTACTAACCGAATACTACACGCTCTGACAGAGGTTGCTTAGCCACCTAAACATATGTCCCCCTCCCTGTCAGAAAGCAGCTGCAGCGGGGATGAGTGGGAAAAGTGGCGCCAAAGACAGTTGACTTTCTTGTGACTTACTGACGCCTAACATTCTACCTAGCCATTTCTAGATTATAGTTTGAGCACATAAATTCCCCAATTGGTCTTAGCCTTTAGTTGACCCTACCAGAGAACTCCCCTTTAGTCACTCCCCTTTTGGGTTGTAATTGGAAGCTGATAATTAATTGCTTTATGTGCGGGTCCTTATCACCTCTCTCTGAGACCCTGAAAACTTCAAGCCTCACATTGCTTTACCAGAGAATTACTGTGTGGGTGTATATACTGGTTCTCTGAGAGCACGTGGAGGATTGATGGAAAAGAACAAAGATGAGGACGGAGATGGAAAGAACTAGGGAGAATGATGAGAAAACAGCAAAAGGGACTGAGAGCAGGAGGGACTGAGAGGAGCTAATAAGAGAACAGAAAAGAAACTGTGCAGATAGAATCACCATAGAAGAATAAAGTGAATGGACTAAAAAACTCAGAGTGCTTAGATTCATTGAATATCCCTCAGATTAGAATCCTCAGCTGGTTGGTAGACTCTTCCGCGGACCCTGGGAGCAAGCAATATAGGCTGGACCAAATATTGCTTGCGTTAGTTTACTAATTTTTTAAGATGTTGTTTGTAAGTTTGAGTATCCCAACTAGTGGGCATATGTGGAACAAATAGTTCCTAGGTGATGTAATTCTGTCAGATGTACAAAATTTGTTGCGTCGTGAATAGTAATTGGGAATATATATCTGGATCCATTAGTTTATCAGAGTTGCAAAATGCTGGCATGTTGACTCTGTCCTTCTAAAAATTAATTAATTGGCTGAGATAATTCTTGTACTTCTTAAGATTGTTAATTTGAAAGGCTCTGGAATCATGTAGGAGACCAGCCTTTAGGTTTGTCCGTGAGATTTCTCTAGATTAAATTAATTGAGATGGGGAAACCCACGGTAAATGTGGGTGGCATTATTCCATGGATTGGAGGACATGTCTGCATGAAAAGGAGAAAGCAAATTGCACACCAGGATTCATCTGAAAGGATTCATCAAGGTCACCGTGTTGGAAGTCATGAGTGACTGGTGTCTATAGGCTCCCTTCAGTGTGGTCCCTAAGGAGAGAGGGCAGGATACAGGGATCTAAGAGTTCTGCCAGAGAGTACAGCAGCCTTCCCTTTCCTAGTGGTTGCTCACAAGGGGATGAAAGGAAGAAAAGAGGAAACTATCAGAGGACTCTCTGGAGAGGAAGGCAAAGAAGAGATGGAAGATATTCTGCTGTGGGATGGTCTGTATGTCAAATGTGTTGCTGATTGATCAATAAATAAATCACTGATTGGTCAGTGGCCAGGCAGGAAGTATAGGCGGGACAAGGAGGAGAATAGAGCTGGGAAGTGGAAGGCTGAGTCAGAGAGACACTGCCAGCCGCCATGATGACAAGCCGCATGTGAAGATGCCGGTAAGCCACGAGCCACGTGGCAAGGTATAGATTAATGGAAATGGATTAATTTAAGCTGTAAGAACAGTTAGCAAGAAGCCTGCCACGGCCATACAGTTTGTAACAAATATAAGTCTCTGTGTGTTTACTTGGTCGGGTTTGAGTGGCTGTGGGACTGGCAGGTGTCAGAGATTTGTCCTGACTGTGGGCCAGTCAGGAAAACTCTAGCTACAATATTCCAATATAGATGTTTGTTGTTGCCTCATAGAGTGGTAACAGGTAACGCCTAGACTGACCAAGGCCTTAAAAAAAAAAAAAAAAAAAAAAAAAAAAAAAAAAGGCCTGATATTTTTGTATAGTTAATCCTGGCCCAAACATAAACTGCAAGATGGAATAAGGAGTATGAATCATAGTGCTGTTTGTTTGTAGGTGAAAAGGCATTTATTTATTCCTCCAGTTTTTCAGGCTGTCTTCTCCCAGGTGTAGACACACACTAATTGCAGGTACAGGCCTTCAAGCAGTTTGGCCCTCACCCCAAGTATAGCCAGAGAGTATCTCAAGTTACCCAGGGGTAAAGGCAGATATTTTTGTTGGGTTGATCCTCTTTGATCGTGGCTTCTGGAAGCTGTGTGGCATGATCTTACAAAATATGAAGATATCGGACGTTTACAATTCAGACTCAAGTTTTGTCCCTGATAATCCTCTGTTGGGGCAAAAATCCTTACCTCCTTTTTCTCCTCATTCTCAATACACAGCACAGCAAGCAACTGGATTCCTTCTCTCTCGCTTCTCTGCTTCTTCAGTTTTACAGTGGAATGAATGTCTTTTGTTAGGAAACTGTCCTGTGCTCTGTAAACTCACTGAAGCTGGCTCCAGAGGTGAGATTTTCCCACAGACCCAAGCACGTATGTCTCACAGTGTCCTCCAAACTCCCTGTTTTCCATCCCTCTTCTCTCCACTTTGTAGCAGGAGAGAGGAGAAGAGCAAAGCAGCACTGGGATGAAAAGCACTCTGCCCTTGGAAACAGCTGAAAAGGCACTGTTTCCAAAAGAGGATACTGTTGTTTAACCCAGGATATAAAATGGCTGTGGTACCCAGAGCTAGAACTGACCTGCATTTCTGTTCCCTTTGGATTAGATTTCCTGGTACCAGAAAACACCATGCAAGATTCCAGACATGGGAGACAACCCACAGTCCTTCCCAGCTCTGACACCTGTGAACCGCATCAACCAGCATGGCATGACAACCCGGGTGCAGTTGTGGCATGTGTACCTTGGACTAAATTGGACTCATTGGACTTAAGACCTGCTCAACAAGAGGGCAACCATGCTTGATACAGGAAACAAACCTAACTATTCAGTGCTAGTGAGGTCATGGTTATTGGTGGAGAATTTACAGCCACTAATTTGCTAAATCAGCATCATCCCTAACAACAATCTGTAAACATTTGTCCTTATGCCCACAGATAAGTGTGGTCTTCACCGCTCATCAAGACAACTTCTCTTTGCAACATATGGAGACCACTACAGAAAAACACAATCAATCAATATGCAGAGTTGTAGAGCTCAGTCCCAATGGATACATGTATACAACACTTCCACATCTAAGGCTCAGGGGTAATTTAGTAAGAGGGGATGGGAAGATTGTAAGAGGCCGAGCATCAGGAAGTTTGTTGTGAGGTTGTGTCTCCTAGTGTGGTCAGAAACTATGCCCATAAAGTCTCACTAACATGACTGCTCAAGAATGAACAATGAGGACACCAATGGCCAGACCAACATGGGCAGAGAAGAGCCCATGAGGCCTCAACCCCACATAAAAAACTACAGGCAACTGAGGGAAGCTGGGAATGGAGAGAGCACACCAGTCACTTGTCCAGTACCAAATAGTCAGCCCTGAAAACATCCATACAAGTAACAGGGACTGAAGTAGCTATATTTAGAAATATACATGTGTATATGTATGTACATATTTGCATGCAATAATAGTTAATGAAAAAAGAAGCCATGAATTTGGTGGAGAGCAGGGATTGTTATATTGGAAGGGTTCTGAGGGAGAAAAGGAAAGGAGAAATGTTATATTGTTTACCTTCCCTGGCCAGGGAGGCTAAATCTCTTCACAATAAAAGGTCTGTGAAAAGATCTATAAGGGATTACCAGTGGAATCCAGACTTAAGAGTGATGTGAACAAAGCACTTCCACATTTATTCTTAAAGCAAGAGAAATGTGAGGTGACTTTTACAGTTAACCTAAGCAAATAGAAGGGCACTGAGGGAATTCAGCTGGTGGTATGTCTTATCATCTTTGGTCATATGAACAGAGCCAAAAGTATCCCACCCAGGCCTTTTCCTTTTCCGTAGAGGTAATGTGTACATGCCATGCCGTTCCCTCATGTCCTTGCTTTCAAGTGCATTCACTTATGGTTTATACATTTTTTTTTTCTAGAAAGCTACCTGGGGAAAAGAACATTCTGCACTCCATCCATATTTTACTGTTAAGTTTAAAGCTATTTTAAACATAGGCTCCTGATATTATAATCTCAGAAAGAATTACAAATGGCTAGTAAACTCTCTCTCTCTCTTTTTTTTTTTTTTCTTTTTTTTTTTTTTGAGAAACAGTCTCTCTACGAACTTCTTGACTGTCCTAGCACTCACCATGTGCAGACCAGCCTTGGCCTGCAACTCACAGATAGCCACTTTCCCCTGGCTTCCATGTGCAGGGATTAAAGTTGTGCATCCCAATCAGCTAATAAACAGTTTGAAAAATATTCAATGTCCTTGGCTATGAAGGAAACACAGATTAAAACTACTTCAGGATTCCATCTCACTCCAGGCAGAATGGCTATGATCAGGAATACAAGTGACAAGCAATAGTGATGTGGATTTACGGAAAAGAACACTCTTATGCGCTGTGGGTGGAGGCATAAACTAGTACAGACACTATGAAATCAGGCTGGACTCACGAATGTCCCCCACAGGCTCCCATAGTTGAACACTTGGTCCCCATTTGGTGACACTGCTTAGGGAAACTGTAAAAGGTAGAACCTTGTTGAAGGATGTACATAACAAAGGATGAACTTTGAGCACGAATGGCCTTGCTTCACTTCCAGCTCATCCTCTCTGCTTTTGAAGATAAAACTGTAAATCAATATAAATTCTTTCATAAGCTGTTATTAGTCAGAGTAGCTTCCCAGAGCTAGTGAGGTCATGGACCTTAGAAAAGAATCTACCAGCACAACTTTTCTAGACTAGCATAATTCCTTACTACACTTGAAATCTTATCATTATATCCACAGATAAGTGAAGCTACTATCCCTCATCTCAGACTCTTCCCTTTACAAAAAATGTGGAGATTATCAAAGGAAACCACAACTGGACACAATGCAGAAATAAACCAGTGGGTCATGGGGAGACCAGTACCAACGGATACATCTACATCACAGCTGTGTCTGAACAGGTACCAATATGGAAGCGAGGTTGTGAAAGCTAAAATACCAGGAAGTTTGCTCTGCAACAGTTTCTCCTAAAAATGACTATATAAACAAGACCGGGACAATGGCAGTATCAATGGACATGTTGATGTAGAACACCCCTAGACAAAGGACCCAGGCACCTAATGACTGCTGAGAGGAGAATTAGTTTCTCCCAGGGTTGAACCCCTTATTCAATGTCTAATGCAGAGTGGTCAGCCCTGAAACTGTATACACACAAACAACAAAAACGTATTCCACAAGTTGTGTGTACATATATATTACATATTGTCTTAGAGTTTTTATTGCTGTGAAGAAACACCATGACCATGATGACTCTTATAAAGGAAAACATTTAACTGGGTGGCTTACAGTTTCAGAGTTTATCATCATGGGGAGATTGGTGGCATGTAGGCAGACATGGTGTTGGAGAGGTAGCTGATAGTTCAGCATCTTGTGCAGGCAACAGGAAGTGGTCTGTCTCACTTGCATGGATTGAGCATATAAGAGACCTCAAAGCCCAACTCCACATTGACACACTTCCTCCAACAAGGCCATACCTATTCCACCAAAGCCACACTTCCTAGTAGTGACACTCCCTAGGAGCTAATGGGGGCCAGTTACATTCAAACTACTGAGTTCCACTCCCTGCCCCCAAAAGCTTGTAAAAATATCATAATACAAAATGCATTTAGTCCAACTTCAAAAGTTCCCATAGTCTATCACAGTATCAACAATGTTTCCAAGTCTAAGATTCACCCTTCTGACGTTCATGCAATCTCCTAACAGTAATCCCCTATAAAATCAACATTAAAGAATAGATTACTTACTTAAAATACATAATGACATAAATATACATTAGCATTCCAAAATGTAGGGAAGGGAGTAGAGTGACGAAACACCGGACAAAAGCAAGACCAAAAACCAGCTGAGCAAACTCCACATTCTCCATCTCTATGTCTGATGGCAAAATGCTCTTCAGATCTCTTAACTGCTTTTAGCTTTGATTACTGCAACATACTTCTTTCTCGTGGACTGGTTCCACTCCATTTGCAGCTTTCCTCAGCAGGTATCCCATGGTTGGGTGTGGCATCTGTATTCCACAGTTTAACTGCTGTGAACAGTGCAGCAGTGTGGGTGCACTGAAGGTGGGTGTGGACGTATGCATTGTGACAATGTGACTTAGATTCATTTTGTATAGACCCTGGAGTGGATCCGCTGGACAGTATGACAGCTTTAGTGTTTTGTTGTTGTTAACCTCCTGTGATGGTTGATCTTCCTCTCAGACTGGATACATTTGGAATCACCTGAGAGCCACACCTCTGGGTGTGTATGTGTGAGGCTGTCTCCAGAGAGGGTAAACTGAGCAGGGGAGACCCACCCTGAGTCTGGGCAGCACCTTCTCATGAGATGGGGTTCCTGACTGCTTCAAAATTGAAGTGGATGCTGAGCACCAGGATTCATCTGCTTTCTGACCAAAGAGACAATGTGATCAACCACTTCAGACACCTGCACCACTCCTTCCCCACCAGGATGGACTAAACCCTTAAACAGGAGCCCACATAAATATACCATCCTCACTCAAGTTCCTTTCTCAGATATTTGGTCAAAGAATTGAGGAAAGTTACCAACAGCCCTCCATATTGATTCCCATGGCAGCTGCACCAGTTCCCATTCTGACCAGCAGAGTATAAGAGCTCACTTCCACCTCCTCCCTGGAGATTTTGTTTCCTTAATATGACAGTTCTGACTATGTTGAGATAGTATCACCATACAATTTTAATTTGTATTTTCGAGTGGATTGTCGTATTCACCCTTTTTTCAAATGTTTTTGGAGTTTTTGTAAATTATAGTTGTATTTCCTCAATTCACTTGTCCATTTATTAATTAGAAGATTTTTTTCATATTCAAGTTTTGAAATTCATTACAGAGCCTAGATACTAATCTGTGGACTGATCTTCTCCCATTTGCCAGGCTGTCTCTTTATACTGGGGATTCCTTCCTTGCTATTGGAGCAAGGTTTTCAATTTTTGGAGGCCTATTTGTTGAGTTCTTGGAGTATATTGTGCACTGGATTTCTTCTCAGAATGTTCTTGCATATGCCCATATATTGAGCTGTTTTCTGTAGCTTTTTCTCTAGTGGTTTCAGGTCTCCCCTTAGGATCTTTGTCTAATTTGAACTGCACTTTTGGTTGGAGGAGAGATGAGAATCTAATTTCATCCTCTATGTGTGAATATCCAGAACTACTTACTCAAAAAATATCATTTTCCCCAATGTATGTTTTTGGCATCTTTGTCAAAAGTATGTTGGGGCCTGGAAGGATGGCTCAATGGTTAGGAGAACTTTCTGCACTGACATAGGATACAGGTTTGCTTCCCAGTATCCAATCTGTCAACTTACAACGACCAGTAAGTAGCTCCAGCTCCAGGGGATCCAAAGTCCTCTTCTGTCCTCCAAGGGCACTCCCATTCACTGCCATACACCTGGACACAGACATATAAATAAAAAACAAAAATCTTGTTAAAGACCAGGGTGGTTCTAGCTGTGTGGCTTCAATTCTGTGTCCTCTGTCTATTCCACTGGTCTACTCTTCTGTTTTCTGACAGTGCCATGCTGTTCCTGCCACTTAGAACCAAGTCTTGAGATCAAATATTCTGATAACCTGCAGTGTTCTTTCCTCCTTTGGATTATTTTTTAGGGTCTTTTTACCATCATATGAATTGTAGTTTTTTTCTCTCTTTTTGTGTGAGCAATATCAATGGAATTTTCACAAGAATTACCAAGATCAATAGATAGATTTTGACAGTATAGACAGTTTCATCTTTTAATCATGTCAATCCAAAAGTATGAGAAATTTTCTGTTTTCTAAAACTTTAATTTCTTTTTACTTTTTTGTAACTATCATGTGCCTTCATAGGTAGTTATTATTTTTTAAAAAAAACTTTTAAAAGTGGATGGGGTCCCCACCTCCTGATTTCGACAGTATCCACAGAGTTTGATTTCCAAATAGAATCAGGAAGAATTCAAATTTCAGGCAATTGAAGTAAGTTGTGAAAACCTAGGAGAAAGATATCCAGACATGGTGGCCCTTAAGGCCAGCACTCAGGAGGTAGAGACAGGCAGATCTCTGGATTGAGGCCATGCTGGTCTGCAGAGAAGCCCTGTCTCAAGAGCAAACAATCAAAAAGTTAGGAGAGAGGCTGAGAGATGGCTCAGCAGTTCAGAGCACTGCCTGCCCTCCTTGAGGACCTGGATTCCACTCCCAGCACCTACATGATGGCTCATAACTACCTCTAACTGTAGTCCTGGGCATCCAGTGCCTTCTGTCCTCCCTGGGCACCAATCATGCATGTGGTGCACAGACTTACCTGTAGACAAAGCACCCGTACACTTAAAATAATAATATCAGGGGATGAAGCTCACTGTTTCCCTGTTTAAGTGAGTTCTGTGTGTGGCTCTGGTGGGAACACTCACTGATACCTCACTGTCTTCATAGCTTCTATGGGTTTACCTCTCTCCTGAGATGAAAGGGGCTCTTGGTTCTGTAAGGCCTGTTGAGTATCCACTGAGAGAGAATCTATGGTGCCAAGAACCAGAGTTTCAACGAAAGCTGCCTTGGGTCTGGATGTTTCTCTTTGTGGCCTTTGCTTTGGAATGGCAGATGCTGAATGCTGCTTTCCTAGAGTGCCAGAGGAATTTTCATCTGCTTTCAATTCAGCCCTGTACATATTCCACTTGCACTTCTCTTGCTGTGACTGAAAACAGAAAAAGAAAATCTGCAAACCTCTGACCAAAAGCATCTTAAGGGGGGAAAGCATCTATTCATCTTAGGACTGAAGGTTACAGTCCAACACTGAGTGTAGTCAAAGCAGGATCTGAAGGTGCATCTGCTTGCTGGCACACATAGCATTACTTCCATTAAAGGATCACATTTCACAAGCAAAAATTAGAGCAAGGCTCATATAGAAAGCTGCTTACTCTCGACTTGCCGGCTGGCTTATACCCAGCTAGGTTTCTTATACAGCTGATTTCCACATGCCTAGGAATGGTACCTCCCCCAGTGGGCTGAGCCCTCCTACATCAACCTACAACCAAAGAGTCCCTCACAGACATATCCAGAGG